AGTTATTTCTTTGCAGAAAACCGGTTCAAGAGGCTACACAAACACGCACGCAAACACACACACACAATTTATTACGCCCAGTGGAGACTCCTGCGACAGGGCAACTATGTATCAATCTGCATTACTTAAACATTTCCCAAGTTATGCTACGTGCTAAGCATATCACGAGATGGTTCGTCAGCAGAACATGTCTCACTGGGATGCCTTCTTGGGCGGACAGCGACAACATTTGGAAGGCAGCAAAATACCTGAAGTTAGGGGATGACACGGCATTCGACAAGGTGCTGGAAGCTGTCCTTGCAGAAAAATACTCAACGCATGGGAAATCGTAGTAAGCTGAGATACGGAAGACAAGGAGCCGGAACTTGATTCTACTGACGGGAGGGCTCTGATGAAACAAGGTAATAATGTACGAAATGTTTTAACACGATTGATAGTTGCCCTATTGGAGAAGTCTCCACAGGGCGTAATAAAATTTTGTGTGTGTGTGTGCGTGTGTGTGGTGGATGTAGAATGTAGGACCTCCTTCCGAATCAAAAGTGGCTGCAAAGTGGATTAGTTAGTGTCAAAACAACCATAAATATACTTCCTAAACCTCGTGTCAAACGGCCAAAGATGACCGGGCATTTCATTTGTGCTTTCTCATTAGTGTATAATCTCACACTTGTGCATGCACAGCCTTTCAAAACTTTCTATTCAACTCATCCTTCCATTTCTTATTTTACTCGTTTATATTAATACAAGGCAGGATGTTTTATAGTCTTGCAATACAGGTCCTCCCATTCACGACTTCCCGCAACTTGCCAGGCCAATCATGGGGCGATCCTCAGAAGACTGGCGCGGCAACAACCGTGCCATCTGCATGCGTCGCTAATATTCCTCAGGCGACCTGTGGTATATCCGACGCAGTATTAACTACTACTGTGCTTGCTTGGTAAGAATACTCTTACAAGGAGGGTTTTCCAACGCAATGACGGATCCGAATATTGTTCAAGGCCTGTGCAGCGATGATGCCTATAGTCTGACATGTATATCAACAAGTGCTTAGGTACTAATCAACGCTACACTATTAGTCCTATTCGAGGTATTTCTCCCAACGTGCAAGCCAGTCAGTCAACCTTCGGCAACCGCGATGTGGAACTATTCAAGTCACCTAGGTGTATGAATGAAGAACATCAGATTCCTGCACAATCTGTCAACATGAAGCCACATAAGAGGGACAATTACTATGGGCTGATCGACTTTCTTGAACAACGCGGGAATTTTGACCTACTCGCACGAAAATCAGTTGAAGAAAGACGCACATGTTTTGGGGAATATTTGGTGGCTAATGAACCTCTCGAGTTGTGTGAGTCACAAGCTTCGGAACCAAAGTCAGTAGAACGCGCCCTGCGCATTTTTATGGAAAGAGAGGACAATGGAGAGCTGGAGAGACAGTTTGCTGAAGAAGCAAGGCAAGTATTTTACGAAGGAAATACGTTTGTGGTGTGGTCGGGGATTTTGGAGCGCTTTCTAAGAGGAAGTTACGGGGATGAAACGAGTCGCATTCCGGTATGCGAGCTTGTGCGGACAATGACGATGAAATTCACTTCTTACGTGGAAATCTTTGAATTTCTCGAACAGGCTGTTCGGAAACGTCGCCGCTTTACCCGGAGTGTACCAGTGGAAGTCGACTACGATAGAGCACGCCATGGCACTAGTCCGGGAATGTTGCGAACGTTGCGTGTCGTCTTGAAGATCCTACAAATTATCCTTTACTATATCATTAAGCAGATGTTTCTGTCTTTTGTGCGAAGTTTGGTGTGGATTGGAAAGAGATTGACTGGCCGCTATACAGAGGCTGGCTAAGTGGGCTCACGAACGTACCGCAAGGCCCCAGGTGTGACGGTACAAGGGCACGAGCAAGGCCAAGTGCGACTTGGATAAAACGATTGTTCACAAGGAGAGTAAGAGCTTCCGAAGGAAGCTCTGACTCGAGCTATCTAAGTCCTAAAGTGGGGCCGTTCCCTTACACCAGGCGACTAGGGAATACGGCAGCAAGTGAAGGGTGACTGAAGAAGAAAGGACGGTAGCCCATACGATCTATACATATTCAAATCCGATGCTCTGTTACTGCATGTGCTTACTTCACTCACTATACATAGTCTTGCAGCTGCCACAAGTTCAACCCTCCTCCACTCTAAATCTATCTAGCCCAAGTATGCTGGGCGTCGTCACGGTGGAGCTTTTTGTGTTGCGATGAAAAGAGTAAAAGCGCAGGCCGACTGAGATCTTTCCAGCAGCTCTAATAATAGTCTATGTTCTACGCGACAATTTGGTGGTAAGCCCCAGAATTGGGAAAAACGTCTATCTTTTGCGCTGGGCTACGATGACTTATCTGCGGCATGCCGTATCTATACACCCGAATCGCTTAAATAGCGCACTGATGATAGACTACTTATAAGCCGGGAGGCTCGTAGTTGTGCTGAGTAGTAGAGATAGACTACAGACTGGTGTTCTTCCGTAAAAATGGCAAAGAAACCGACTTTCCTGGGCGTTTTACTGGCACTCGTGACGTTTACTCAAGCTCATATGGAAATGAGCTGGCCGCCTCCATTTCGCTCCAAGTTCAACCCGTACACCATCCGCGCCAACGTTGACTACAATATGATAAGTCCCCTCTTGGAAAACGGCACCAACTACCCGTGCAAATCATATCAGAACCTACTTGGCACTACTGAAGGGCAATCTGTCGTTACCTGGCAGCCAGGCCAAACATATAACCTCAGTCTCGTGGGTAGTGCCACACACCTTGGTGGGAGCTGTCAGGCATCGTTGTCGTTTGACAAGGGGAAGACGTGGCAAGTCATACGGTCGTACATAGGCAAATGCCCCTTGAAGCCCCACTGGGATTTCACCTTACCAAACGATACTCCACGACGTGATGCAATTTTTGCCTGGACATGGTTTAACAGGGTGGGGAATCGCGAAATGTACATGAACTGTGCGCCTGTTACCATCAGTGGAGGGGAGACAGCAGGCCGAGAAGAATCGACTCCCTTTAGATCGCGTCCCGATATGTTTGTAGCAAATGTCGGAAAGGGCTGCGCAACTGTTGCTGGTCGCGATGTTGAATTTCCATATCCTGGTCCCGGAGCTGCATATGACTCTGACAATACTTCCCCTCCCGCCGGGCACTGTAGCAGCGCTTGAGTGATGTTGGCTAAGTGTTTGACAAAATGATGAGCATTGGCCACGGCAAGCGTATCTAAAACTATATAGGGCACAATTGGGATATATTCACCGAGATATATTACTACTAAATAATAAAATATGGTGAATAGTGGCCACAATTTGCATTTTCCATTTGTAGGTAACTAACTGGGGCTTCCTATCCAGTGTGGCTTGTAATGAAGTGGAGGCAACAAAGAGGTCCTTCGTAGAGCACGCCAAGCATCATTGTAAATGTAAGGTGTAGAGCAGAATGTTTCAGATAGACATAATCTGGGAGCCAAGCTAGAGAGTCGTCCAGACCTAGCCCAAAGTCTGTTTGTGTCAAGCTGACTGCCTGCTACTGTGTGGCGTCCCTACCATTTTGCCAAATCCATTCCGGCGAGTGGTCGAGCATGAAGTTGAATTTTCTGTTTCAAAAGAGGGATTTGCAATTCAGCCGAGAATTTGAATATTTGGTATCAACACTTAGTTACCAATACCTGCAAGCATTAGTTAGGAGGTGCAGGGTGGGCTTTTTGTCCAATGGGACAATATTATGGCCCAGCACGAATAACCATATACAAGGTAATAACCGCCGTAATACAGTACAAAAATGCCATAATTGCGGTTATCAGCCTAACTATACGTTTTTGCCTGTGGCGTAACAATACGGTGGACCGTAACAAACAACGTCACGGGCTGGTGGCATGCTCTCTTTTCTTACCGTACCGACGGGGCGTGTCCAAAAACTCGTATGGCTCACAGATTTTAACGCAACAAGTTCCAATGAGCAACGGAGATCATATATGAGCAAAATCCTGTTGAATTTAGACGACTTGCCATTTATTCAGTACTCAATGCTGCACATAGTTCAAAGCTACAACGGGCAACGTGGCTCAGTCGCTTAATAGCTTGAGCGCATACGGGAATGTATACATTATACACCACTTTACATACAGTCGTGGTTCATCCCTCATCCCCAGGATTGGGGAAGGGAAGGCATAGATGCAGCGCAATGTCTTTTCTGATGATTACAACCACTACACTACGTGGGAATACAGAACATTGGCTGTGGCTCGACCGATAAACCCAAACAGACCTCCATTGTATCTTGTTAGTTCGCACATCGCATTCGTCGTGCTTGACGTGTGGCCCCTTACAAAGCTGGGGAAATCATATCAAATTGTGCATTTGTAAACATCACAGTCCTCTATCTCCGTTGCAACGCGTTCTCCCGTTTTATCCAACTTGCCAACACCTCTGGTCCACTTGCCTGGGACTTCATCTCCTTTCACTGGACTGGGTCGAGACTTTTCAGGATGCCCAACCCCGTTATGCACCTCGGTGCATTGCTTTTGCTGCGGGTTGCAATCTGCGGCCGTGCGACTCATATCATCAGTGACAAGGGGGGGTTGCATTGACCCCCTGAAGGACAGTAGCTGTCGCAATAATGACACCCAATCTCACTGTATAGTAGGACCACATAAACGGTCTCCTCCTCAGTCGCCTTGCTGGTACCGCCGGCATAAGTCTAAGTAGGTATGGGAATGAAGTTCGATGGGTCCCTTCCAGTGTAATGGCTTTCGTTTCCTGCGATAACGCTAGGGTCATTGTGGTATCGACTTCCCATATAGCCCTGATGTTAAAGAACGACAATATATGGGACGAGAAACTGGCCGCTAGACTATCCGAATTAGACACATTATCGGGCGAAGTGAATGCTCTTGGCCTACCATGAAACTCACCGGCACTTAAAATAGAAGTACCTTACTTGCTGTAGGAACAATAAATTAATTATGAGATACATTCTTTCAAGGAGGAAATGTTCATACAAAGATCTACTTAGCTAGTTGTTCTCCAATAGTTTATTGTAAACCACGCACACAACCAATGATCAGAGGGACTACCGAGACCAGCTTCTGAGAGCAGACGGCGTTTATCTGAATTTGGACAAATGAAAAGTCGCAGTTTCTTTCCTTCTTAGTAGTTCAAAGTTCCTTCACACCAGCTTGCACGGCTTTCGAATGGCTCCAGTCATGGCTATCTTGAGCCAAACTCCACGCCATGACACCACCCAGCTTCCTTGCTGACACAATCTCCTTAAACTTTCGTGCAATAAGATCGGGTGTGTCCCAAGTCCAGTATATCTCGGTAGACGCGTCCCAGAACCACTGTCCACCCCTTGCAGAGTCCTGCTTGCCATTTTTCAAGGCATTGGCAAATGCGGCATTGCTATTGTAATTATCGATTTCAAAAGTAACCGCCCCAGACAGATGGGTATCAGAGCCGTCGGCCGATTCGAGGACCGCAGTAGGGCAGCCGGTCGGTTCAAGACACTGGGCTCCATGCTTGGTAGTGAAATACTTGGCGAAGAAGGCGAACCCGAGATTCATCTTGCTAGGAGACATGCCACGCTGGATATAGTTGTCGACGGTCTGTAAAGAGCCTTCCACTGATGTATGGTGGTTGGTCGCGTTGTCTCGGCGATTCATTAAATCGTAGGTCATAACCTAGGGGTGTCGGTTATTTGTATTATTGTTATACTACAACGTAGATTCGACTTACGTTTATGAAATCGACGGTCTTGTCGATTTTGGGAACTTGCTCAGCGGTGAATGCGATCATGTCGGCCTCTCTTCCTGGAACAGCTATGGAAAGCTCATGTCTGCCAATGGCGGCCTTGATCTCGGCAAGCAGGAGGGGGTATGTCTCGATTTCGGAAACCTTCTGCTCGTTGGGGATCTGCCCATAGTCTTGTCCATTGCCACCGGGGTACTCCCAGTCAACATCTGTGGTGTATATCAGCGTGCAAGTTCGAGTTTCCCCGCGTTTAAACATATATTTCCCCGTGTTTTACTATATGACCTTACCAACGCAGTCATATCCCAATCTGTCCACGGCTTCGGCAACATTCTTGGCATATCTCTTTCGACTTTCTTCATCTACCGCACCGGCGCTAAACCCAGACGTGTCGCCCCATCCCCCGATGGCCATGCACACTTTCGTACCCCGCTCAAACAACGCCCTGATTTGATCTAGGGGCATGAATGGTTGATATGAGCTATCCCAGTTGAAGGCCGTTGACGGAGCAAATGCGGTTATGACGTAATTTACGCCTGCAGTCACATCTTTCGGAGGCAGTGTGGTTTTGTGCCATCGGTAATGAGGATTCAGTGTAAGTTGAAGGACTACATAAGTCGGTGATAAGTTTAACTTACTGGTCGAAGTACACGACGTGTCTTGGAGCGGCAAAGGTGGCGGCGGTCGTAGCCAATACAACAAGAAAAGAGCAACGCATCATGCATAGAGGCAACCTGACATGTAAACAAAATTGAATTTCGCATCCATGCAAATATATACTCAC